TCAGAGACCAAAAGAAAACAATGAACAAGTCAATAACCAACTTTCTCTCTCTTTACCCACTCAACCCAGTCGACGTCTGGCCAAGTTCATAGGAGCCAAAGCCCTTGCACGATGTGACCTCAATGGGTTGACAGTCAATGCCTTACTGGACACTGGAGCCCAGGTGAGCATGATAGATAGAAGCTGGAAAGAGAAGTATCTACCAAACACACCCATTAGGCCGCTTAGTGAAATCTTTGATGAGAGAGAAGAGCTGGAAGTGCACGCGGTGAATGGAGAAATCCTCCCTTTTGATGGCTGGGTCCTTATTGCAGTCAGTTTCAGTGGAAATGGTGCGCTTAGCCAGTCGATCATGGTGCCTTTTCTCATCTGTAGCATTCCGCTTGCACAGCCACTACTTGGGTTTAATGTCCTAGAGGAAGTGATTCAGAATCGAACAAAAGAACTTGTCCCAGCACTTACCACGCTTCTATCTGACGCAATATCGGTTCCTGCGGAGAAAGTTGAGCTGCTGATGAACTTCATTCAGACTGACAAACCCTCCATGTATCAGAGATTGATAAGAACGGGTAATTATGAGACTACAGTCCCAGCCGGACAAGTAGCCTGGGTGAAGTGTCAGGTCCCATCCACTGTAGACCAGTCAGACCCTCTTCTCTTGTTTGAACCTAACGAGAACAGTGGCCATCTCACCGAGATTGAGGAGGGCTTACTAGAACTACAGACCGCAAAGAGACCTTATGTCATAATACCAGTAAGAAATGACACGAAGCATCCTGTTACAATACCAAGGAAGACAGCCCTTGGTAGCGTCCAGACGGTGGCTAGAGTGATTGAGAACAATCCATTAGAGAGCCCCAGGCCCAGAGTAGCAGTCGTTAAAGCAGCAACAGCCCCAGTTAAACAGAGTGTTCCAGCGTTATGGCAGCCGCCTGTGGACCTCAGCCACCTTGGTGATGAGGAACAAGAAAAAGTCAAGAAAATGCTGTGGGAAGAATCGGCTGCTTTTGCACAAGACAGTCATGATATTGGATGTATTCCTAGTCTACAGATGTCTATCTCACTCAAAGACGAGATTCCAGTGCAGAGAGCTTACTCTTCTGTGCCCAAACCACTGTTCAAAGAGGTGAAGGAGTATGTACAAGATCTGCTCATGAGAGGTTGGATTGTGAAGTCAAAGTCCTCTTATGCTGCTCCAGTGGTCTGCGTCCGAAAGAAAGACGGTACACTCCGTCTCTGTATCGTTTATCGTCTCTTGAATCAGAAGACCATCCCTGATCGACATCCCCTACCTAGGATACAAGACCTGACTGATAGCCTCGGTGGTTATTCCTGGTTCAGCATCCTCGGCTAAGGCTTATCATCAGGGCTTTATCGCCAAGGACTCCCAGCACCTCACTGCTTTCATTACCCCCTGGGGGCTATATGAATGGGTGCGTATCCCTTTTGGCCTCTCCAACGCCCCAGCAGCTTTCCAGAGAAGCATGGAGGAGATGTTGAGTTCCTTGAGAGATGATTGCTGTCTTCCGTACCTTGACGACGTGCTCTGCTATGCAAGAACCTTTGACGAGCACGTGGAAGGGGTCCGTGAAGTACTCCAAGCTCTTCAGCGACATGGAGTGAAACTGAGACCTGAAAAATGTGAGTTATTCCGACGAGAAGTAAGATATGTGGGTCGTCTTGTGTCAGCTCAGGGAGTGAGAATTGATCCCAAAGACCTGGATGCACTGCGGTCGTTAGCCAGCAGGACACCACAGACAGTGGGAGATGTAAGAAAGCTCACCGGGTTCCTGGGCTATTATCGTTCCTACATTCAGGACTTCTCAAGGATAGCAAAGCCCATCTATGAGCTGCTACAAGTCAAGCCAGGACAAGCCGCTGTAGCACGTGGAAAAAGTAAAGGTCCACAACTACCATCCAGAACCCCTGTGGAGTGGGCCATCGAGCATCAGGAAGCCCTCGACCGACTTGTATCTCTCCTTGTTAGCCCCCCCGTGCTAGCATACCCCAACTTCGACTTACCCTTTGTATTACATACCGATGCTTCAGACCAGGGGCTCGGCGCGATTCTTTATCAACATCAGAATGGCAAGTTAAGAGTCATTGGGTACGGGTCTAGGACTTTGACTGCGGCTGAGCGAAACTACCACTTGCATAGTGGAAAGCTAGAGTTCCTCGCCTTGAAATGGGCCGTGTGTGAAAAGTTCAGGGATTATTTATTCTACGCACCTCATTTCACAATATTCACAGACAACAATCCCCTGACCTACGTCATGACTACAGCCAAGCTAAATGCAGTAGGCCATCGGTGGGTAGGTGAACTCTCCGATTTCAGATTTGACATAAAGTACAGACCAGGAAAGGCTAACATCGATGCCGATACGCTGTCGCGTCTTCCTTTAAACATTGAGGCCTATGCTGAGTCCTGTACCAAAGAGTGTACCGAAGACGTGGTTCGTGCGATATGGGATGGAAGTAAAGTAGCCAAACTGAAAGATGTACCGTGGGTGGCGGCTCTCAACATCTCTTCCCAAGCCGACTTATCCCCCTCATTTGATCACTTGACCGCAATCAGTCACGATGAGCTTGTGGAGGCACAACATGCAGATGAAGCCATCGGTGAAATGATCAAGTTAAAAGAGGCGGGTACACCTTTAACTGACGAGATACGGAAAGCGGCTAGTGGAGCCACTAGGAGACTATTTCATGAATGGGGAAAGTTAGTTTTGGAGAATGGTCTCTTGTACAGGCGTGCTAATGAAAGAAGGCAGTTGGTGCTCCCTGCTAAGTACAAAGACATTGTCTTGAAGAAACTCCATAATGAAATGGCCCATGTCGGTACGGAAAGAGTCCTCAATCTTGCCAGAGAGAGATTTTATTGGCCCTTCATGGCTAGAGAGATCGAAGAACATATCACAAGGAAATGTCCATGCATAAAATCGAAGAAGCCAGTTACTCATGTTCGCGCGCCAATGGGTAGTATAACATCAAGCTCGCCACTGGAGTTGGTGTGTATTGACTATCTACACCTAGAGACCAGTCGTGGGGGTTACGAATATATCCTTGTGGTCGTCGATCACTTTACGAGATTCGCCCAAGCTTATCCGACAAAGAACAAGAGTGGGAAAACGGCAGCTGAGCGAATCTTTAATGATTTCGTCCTCCGCTTCGGATATCCATCAAAGTTACACCACGACCAAGGCCGTGAATTTGAGAATGAGCTCTTTCGGACGTTGCAACAGTTGTCAGGTATTCGTCATTCGAGAACATCACCATACCATCCCCAGGGGAACCCGGCGGAACGGTTTAATCGGACGATACTCCAGATGCTAAGAACGTTGCCAGAGAAAGAAAAGGAACGATGGAAAGATCAAATCCCACTAGTCATTCATGCGTACAATTGTACTCGGCACGAGTCGACAGGCTACTCACCTTTCTTCCTTCTTTATGGTCGTCATCCTCGCCTTCCAGTTGACTTACTGTTTGGGTTGGTTGAAGAAACGGAGCCTGACTCGCCAAAGGGAGATGCAAAGAAGTGGGCAAAGCAGATGTCGGAGGCTTATCGAATTGCTAACGAGAGTAGTAAACAGGCCAGTGCCAAAGGCAAAGTGCTTTACGATAAGAAGGCAAGGGGAGTGGTACTACAGCCTGGCGATAGAGTCTTGGTCAGGAACCTTGGTGAGCGCGGTGGACCAGGAAAACTACGGTCATATTGGGAGAAATCGATTTACGTTGTGAAAGAACAGTTCGCGGATAACCCAGTATACGTAGTCTACCCTGAGTTTGGAGACAAGAGAAAGACAAGGACATTACACCGTAATCTGTTGTTATTAGCAAATGACCTTCCGGTGGAAGCTCTTCCATGCCAAGATGCTCCTGAAAAGAGAACACAGAAAAGGAAACATCAGACTCGACGCACCAATGTCTCAGAACGTGCAAGTCTACAGGAAGTATCAGGTTCAGACTCAGATTCTGGAGAAGACTCAGATGGTCCTCGTTATTGGTTGAGGGTACCAGTAGAAAAGATAAAGAAGATACCTGTGGTAGCCCCACCACAACAATCAGTAACCTCTCTGAGCCAGCCAACTCCAATACCTGCTGAAGAAAAGGAGGAATGTAGGATGCACCACTTACCTGAAACGGATTTGTAACCTGAGGGAAACGTAGAGATAGAGGAACCCGGAGAAGATGAAGATCAGTTTGTTGTTGCGGGACCTGAGGAACAAGATGGATATGATGAGGATCCAGAGTTCAGTCAAGAGGAACAGTTTCCAGTCAGTGCAGTGCCAGATAACCAGACCCAGGTCAGAAGGTCAAGTCGGGAGCGACTACCTAAACAGATTTTCACATATGAGAACCTTGGTCAGCCTACACAGACAACACAGGCTACAGTTAAAGTGACAAACACACACTTACAATCACCTGTTTACCTGCACCCATTTATGCCTTATTCAACCCCAACATGTCCACTTAACCTTTATTCTACCCTTTACCCCCTATTTACATACATGCCTTATACGGTACCAGCAACACCATATATATTGCCAGTTCCAGTTGCTTGTTAAAAGAGGCTTTGAGTTAAATAAGTAGAGAAGAAAATGGTGGGACCCATTTCTTTTTGCTGGGAAGTGTGTGACGATCACACAAGTATTGTAATTGTACATTAAGTATAGTCAAAATTATTGGTTTCATTTTTAATATGTTATTGTGTTATTTTGGAAAAAGAAACATTCAGAAGGGTTTTATTCTAATGTGATTCATTTTAAAAGAAAAAGAGAGAAGTGTGCAATGCTACTCCTGACCGTTAGGGGCAGAGTCGAGCGATGGGTGTTAAGCTGTGCGAGTCGTGAGTTTTTCATTACTCCAGAGAGCTTGAACTTGAACACTGTCTCCTCGTTTCTCTCCTGTGTTACAGGAGAATAATCTGTTCCTCACGGGTGCCGACGCCACGGTACCCGTTACATATACATGAAACAGGAAGTCCTGCCTGCAGTATGGTAGTTCCACAGGAAACACCACAGGAAAAGTGAACGACAGCAACTTCAAGCAAGAGATAGGCCTAAATCTGAAAAATCCTTGTTTTCAAGGTAGGTCCGGTCAACTTAGTGAAGTTTATGTTAAATTATGCTTTACTAATTTTAGCTGTTTTAGCGTTATTGTCTTAAACTAGCCTACTTAAACCTGTTGTGGGGGAGGGAGTGAATCTCCACTAGCTAGCGTTAGCTAAACATTGGCCATAGTTAGTCTAATTTTGAAAACAACTTTTGCACGGCACCAAAGATCAGTGTTGTGCAAGTTACTTCCAAACTGTAATACATTATATATTACTTGTTACTGTTATTTAAAAGTAATTCATTACCTTACAATATTACTGTCTCAGAATTGTAATGCGTTACATTACTCCTGTATTACTTTTGAGTTACTTTCACCAAAAGAAGTAGAACATTCTAAAATGACTAGGGCTGTAACGATACGCAATATGAAACCGAAATCGCAGATCCAATGCCACCACATCTTTAAATTACAATTAGTTTTATTTGAAGTTAACATTATGAAATACGTAGACCTACACCACAAAACTAGTTGAGGATAAATTATTTAAAATTGGGGAATTCCAGCGTTTTGGACGTGACATTTGCAGTCAAAACTTGAAATCTAAATTCTCAGAAAATGCATTTAATACCAAAATATTGAAACGTCTGTTTATCCATAGGCTCCTCCCTGAAAGGAGTCCAGACATTAGAAAAATATCAGTCTACACATGCGTTTTATATTTAATATTAGGGAAATAGACAGTCATGCGTGACAAAAAAATCTTTAACTTTTAGGAGACATTCTGTGAATTACACTGCGCAAATCGGATGAAGAAGGGTTGGCTCTCCACAGAACATAAAATATTCTTCTTTTTTTTTTTTGTGTTCGCATTTATGAGGAAAAAACAATGTTACAGAGTGGACGTGACAGTTCTCCGTTACCGAAACTCAGCGTATAAGGTAGCCTACTTCACGGACCTGAGAAATATATCTATATTGAAATGTCTACTTGTAAACAGTACAATTCAAAACGAAAGAAAACGGACTGCTCCCTGCTTATCTGTATGGAATGTGCATTTCTCTCTGGCGCATTCACTAGCCTACTGCGAAGATCACGAGTCAGCATCGTCAACTTCATCTTTATTAATAAACATTTAAAATGTCTCCTTGCTATATTTGACATTCATAATCATTGCTTTTGCCGGTTCTTTGTGAGAGCTTTTAGGTGCTTATCGGCAGCGCCGCCGCCCTTACATGAACGCGTCACCACTGCATCAAAAACATGATTGCGTGATGAAAACATGAAAAATACCACATAAACATAGCCTAACTGTTTAGAAAGAAAACACAGAACGAATAGCCTAATGCACGTCCATCTCGCGAATGTATACTCTCTTCTTCATGTCATCTTCATATACCATTAGCCGCTTTTCCACTGGCCAGCGCGAGCACAGAGGCCGAAATCATGCCTCACGGCACTCTTGTAAAAAATAAATCGCTATACAAATATATCAGACGCTGCCATTTAGTCTTTATTTACAGACTTGGACACCACACGCGGCTATTGACTGACCACGAACAGGTAATTTAGCCTACTTGCATTTTTCATTGGTTAATGTCTCGCGGTCTTGCTGTTTTTTTGTTTGTTTTACAATTAAAACTAAAAGTCTGTTGTAACGCAAGCCTTACTGAACATGTACCGAGTAAAATATTACTGAAAATTGATTAGTAATGCCTTAAACTACTGCGTTACAGCAAAAAGTAATATGTTACTGTAATGCATTACTTTTGTAACGCGTTACTCCCAGCACTGCCAAAGATTAACAAGTAGCAGCTAACATCATTCCGCTACATGTTTTGTACATTTGCTGGGGTTTTATTTTGGCCGTCGTTGGTTGCCCAATGATCTGGCCGTGATTGCACTTTAAAAATCCCACATTCCAAGGCAACTATGGCTTGGTTCTCTGTATGGCAATACTTTAAACTGACTAATGCCATGTTTTTTGTGGTCTGCCACTGCCTTTGTCATAAAGAAAACTAAAATTTGATAAAATAACAATAACATAACAGAATGTTTGCAAACCCTTGCTTGCAACTGTTTTATGCCAGTGACCCGCTAACATTACAAAACAATGTTGGTCATAAAAATGCAAACTGTATAGGTAAAACTCAAGGCTAAAATAAACACTAGTCATGCAGCACAATTTAATGTTCTAACAATCAACCTAAAAGTAAACATGTGGGCAACGAGAACCACCTGTCAGTCACATGTTCCCATACAAGGGGTGATATAAGTTGTTTAACAGATCAAGATGTACTGTAAATACCAGGAATTGAAAGCTGGCATTCTGATCTTTAGTCTCACATTCGTATTTTTATCTTAAACCCAAATGTCTTCAATGTACAACAAAAATAAAGAAATTTGCCTTGTTGTTCCCATAACTTTGGAGATGACTGATTGTGATCTTCATTTGTGTTTATTGATTTCAGTGTACCAGAAAAAAGTCCTAGACATACTCGCTGACATAAGAACTTGCTTAAAGCAAAGCCAACCTGCCAGTTCACCAGTAAACATCGAAAAGATGGAGACTATGGAGGACTTTGACCGTGAAGAGGAATGTCTCCACTCTCCATGATGCGGAGGCCTAGGATGCTTTGGTAGTTGTATAAGTATGGAAGTAAAAGATAGCTGTATACAATACAATGCACTCACTCATTGTTAGTTTATTTTGGGGAGGGCCAGTCAACCTTAAATATCAAAAGTTGGTGGAAAGACCACTAAGGACTGTGTCCACAAAGCCCTTGACCGGTACGTTAGTACATACAGTATGGATTTTGTGTGATGTCCAGGTGCTTTGTTTTTTTCAATGTCTGAATCACAATCAGTTTCATCGGCCATGCATGCATTGATGGAGCACCTTATTGGCTACCAAGACAGATGATAGGAAATTACTTTTGACCCCGGAATTAAGCCCACAAATATCCATCATGGTGGCGGCCAATTTCAGCCCGTTTAGGCTGAGTTTGCTAAATGCATAGAAATGGATGGGAGGGGGAGGAGCTTCTCTCTGTTACGGATAGTGAACAGAGGACACAAGTGCAAGTAAAACTGGTCTTTATTGAACAATAATATAAGCCAGCCTCAGAAACGTGAAGGAAGATAACCGGAACAAAGTCTCAGTCTGATGTAGTCGATCTCACGAACTCACAGAAACAATAGAAACAGTGCAGGAACAGAAGCGTTGGCAACGCAGGCTTGCGTGAGCAACTCAGAGGGGCACGGTCAGTGTGTAGCGAATCCTCCGTGAAGACGAGACACGATGACGATGAAACGAGGCGAACATCCAACGAAGAAACAGACTGGGACCCAAGGAACTGGAACAGGCTAGACACATCCACAAACAACGATCTGACAAACACAAGACGCATGAGGTGAGTATAAATAGGCACTGGAAATGAGTATCACCTGTCGCTGATTCTCCGGGAGGATAATCAGCGACCAGGCCTACACACGTGCACATACACACACATAAACACAGCGCAAGGAACAGTCAGTAAATTCATCAACCGTGACACTCACTGTCTCCAGTTATATTAATACCTCCATGGCGTAAACCCCCCTGACTGACATGACTGTGTGTATACACAATATTATTTGTGTATGTGTTTGTGGCCACAGAACATACTTTCTTCTATTGATTTCTAAATGTAAATTATTTTCCTTTAGACTCTTCTCTAATGCCGTAATGGCATCTTTTAATATGAAGGGGAGGGGGCAAAACGGCAAGAGGCCTTTCGGAAACACAAAAATATACAGAGCACTACAAGGTAAGGCCAGATAAAAAAGAATAAGGGACTTGATGTATGACTGCAGAGTGCCTTTGTATGATAGTAATTATGTGTGTTTTTGTACTTGTGCAGATGGAGTTATGAAGTTCGACCAAACTGCTACGGAGGACTCCATTAGAACTTTCACCTCAGAACACCTTAAACACGCACCACAAAGAAGTGGAAAGTTCACTACTCCACATAGTCACTGATCATGTACACACGCGCATATATATATATATATATATATATTAGGGGTGTAACGGTTCACAAAATTCACGGTTCGGTTCGATACGATACACTTGTGTCACGGTTCGGTTCGGTACGATTCGGTACGTTTCCGATACAGCAAAAAGAAAGAAATGCCAGAGAAATTTCCTTGATTTAATCTTTTTAATTATATTTTTATTAAAACTAACATCATAAAGTATGATATTTTTTAACTTTGAGCAATGATGGAGCTATACTTGACTTTTCTTAGGAGCTTATAAAACAAAACAGCTCCTTGGACAAAATTAAATGTAATATTGTAGTAGTTATAAACAAAGGTTTATTTTAGTTCAGATTAACATTTGAGGGCAGCAATTGTATTCATAATGTCAAAATAAAACCGACGTGATGTTACTTGAAAGCATTATAGCCTACTATTCCTGCCAAACTTCCATGGTTACAGTTAGTAGTGTTACTACAGTAAACCCATGGTGAATGTTGCTGATCTGTGGACACTGGATAGTTCATTCATGGCACAATGTTTCTTCCTGGTTTCCACGTCAGCGCTGTTTGATCCGTTAATAACGGAGAAATGCGAATGTTTCTCACTAGATCTTGCAGCGATGTTATTACTTCAGTGGCGAATTCAAATGCTTTCTTTACTGGATTTGGCTGTGTAGTAACAGTGCTGATGATTAAGATCGGCTCGCGCTGTATTTGTCCAAACTGATAAACGGTCCTTCAACCACACAATAACGAGTGGTTTCGTTCCGCTTACATTACATTTGCCATTTGATGTTGGGCAATGTTGTGGTCACGCACATTATGAGCGCGCTTGCCACGCGTGACGCGCCTTCATTTGAAATAACGAAATTTTGGTCGGCAGGAAAAATGGTCCAACGAACCGTTCGGTTCAAAAATGCGTACCGAAAACCGAACCGAAAGCCTCGTACCGAACGGTTCAATACGAATACGTGTATCGTTGCACTCCTAATATATATATATATGAAGACAAGAGCCATTTGAAATTTTCTTGTAGAATGATAATTTTTTATCAAGCTTGTATATTTAAGTTCAGTAATTTCACTTAAATGGCAATGAAGATTACCTTGTCATTTAAGTGAAATTACTGAACTTAAATATGCAAGCTTGATCAAAATTATCATTCTAGAAGAAAATTTCAAATGGCACTTAGAGGCTTTTGCATCTGAACTCTTGTCTTCATATATATACACACACACATATATATATATATATATTAGTGCTGGGCAACGATTAAAAAATTTAATCGCGATTAATCGCATGATTTTCTTGCGATTAATCGCGATTAATCGCATTGTTACGCGCGAAAATTGAATAATGAATTCTAGTAGTGTATTGCGCACTTTTGATTTAAATGTACTGCTACAAAAGTGCAATAACATGTGGTTTGCAAAAACTTTAAACAAATAAGGTGCTTTTATACCAGCAGTATTCCCTTTACACAGTATCAATAAAATATTTCTTGTAAATCTCAACTTAAACATTAATGTAATCAAATCAAATATTTAAACTAAGCTATTTGCCACTGCCAGGGCATTACCTTTTATCTAGCTTGTTAAAACGAGTCCAGTTTTCTTGTTTTTTTTTTTGTGACAGGTATCAACAGGTGTCTTTTAGCAGCAGAAACAGTCTATGTAGTCAAAGGGTCATGATCACTACTACAGATTTAAGTCAACCAACGTTACTTCTCTGATAGCAGCTTAGGTTTGGTCATGGCATGCCATGGTTTCCCACGTAAGATTACATTAAACAGAGGTAAAGCCCAATTTATACTTCTGCATCGAACTCACGCCGTAGCTGTGTAGCGCGCGTACCCTGACGTGCATCTCTCCAAAAATGTAACGTCAATTCTACGCGTACCACAAGCGCTGTGATTGCTAGAACCGCTCCCCGGGTTTCACACTCTCCCTCATGTGTAATTGCGCGTCAACGCGGACAACGACGCAGATATATAAATGAAAACCAACGCGTAGTCTATAGCGTAGAGGCTCCGGCGGTCCGACGCAGAATTATAAATCAGCCTAGAGTGAGGTGAAGTGGTCGAGCACAGGTGCAGCGACAAGCGGGTGCGTTCCTGTGAAACTGTTGCGGTCATACTCGCCTCACGCACGCGCCCGCGCTCTCCGAAGTTGAATTGTCTAACTTTTTTGTACACGACGCGCAGCACAAATCATTGGAAGAGAGACTGATCCTCGGCTCGCTGTTTGTGAGTTTCCAGAATCTAAATAGTTATCAGGACATCAACAGGAGGGAATTCACATGGCAGAGCATCCCCGCTAAACTAAACGCAGGCCTATCAGGTAAAGTTATGTATAATTTTAATTTAAGTTAAAAAGGCTACAGCTGCGTAGCGCACAGAAGCCGTTGCCATGGTTACTATCCATAGAGCGCCTGTCATTCACTCGCGGAGCGCCGTCTCCCTTTCTGTTCACCTGAGAGAACCTGCCAAAGCCTCTCCACTGCTTGTTTGGGTGGGTTATTTGCTGGCTGACCAACATCCCACCCCTCCTGTGATCATGGTTTGCCCAGCACTAATGCTGGGCAAGTTAACGCGTTATTATCGCGTTAACGCATTTATTAAATAATGCCGACAATTTTTTTATCGCGCATTAACGCAGTTTTTTTTTATTATTATTTTGAAAGTCCGTTGCTCACTGGCTCTGAATACACATAGGCCTACAGTCAAACCATGATCACAGGAGGGGTGGGATGTTGGTCAGCCAGCAAATAACCCACCCAAACAAGCAGTGGAGAGGCTTTGGCAGGTTCTCTCAGGTGAACAGAAAGGGAGACGGCGCTCCGCAAGTGAATGGCAGGCGCCCTATGGATAGTAACCATGGCAACGGCTTCTGTGCGCTACGCAGCTGTAGCCTTTTTAACTTAAATTAAAATTATACATAACTTTACCTGATAGGCCTGCGTTTAGTTTAGCGGGGATGCTCTGCCATGTGAATTCCCTCCTGTTGATGTCCTGATAACTATTTAGATTCTGGAAACTCACAAACAGCGAGCCGAGGATCAGTCTCTCTTCCAATGATTTGTGCTGCGCGTCGTGTACAAAAAGTTAGACAATTCAACTTCGGAGAGCGCGGGCGCGTGCGTGAGGCGAGCATGACCGCAACAGTTTCACAGGAACGCACCCGCTTGTCGCTGCACCTGTGCTCGACCACTTCACCTCACTCTAGGCTGATTTATACTTCTGCGTCGGACCGCCGGAGCCTCTACGCTATAGACTACGCGTTGGTTTTCATTTATATATCTGCGTCGTTGTCCGCGTTGACGCGCAATTACACATGCAGAGGGAGAGTGTGAAACCCGGGGAGCGGTTCTAGCAATCACAGCGCTTGCGGTACGCGTAGAATTGACGTTACATTTTTGGAGAGATGCACGTCAGGGTACGCGCGCTACACAGCTACGGCGTGAGTTCGATGCAGAAGTATAAATTGGGCTTTACCTCTGTTTAATGTAATCTTACGTGGGAAACCATGGCATGCCATGACCAAACCTAAGCAGAGAAGTAACGTTGGTCGACTTATATCTGTAGTAGTGACCATGACCCTTTGACATAGACTGTTTCTGCTGCTCCCTGATACAAGATACCTGTTCAGAAAAAAAAAAGAAAGAGAAAACTGGACTCTTTTAACAAGCTAGATAAAAGGTAATGCCCTGGCAGTGGCAAATAGCTTTGTTTAAATATTTGATTTGATTACATTAATGTTTAAGTTGAGATTTACAAGAAATATTTTATTGATACTGTGTAAAGGGAATACTGCTGGTATAAAAGCACCTTATTTGTTTAAAGTTTTTGCAAACCACATGTTATTGCACTTTTGTAGCAGTACATTTAAATCAAAAGTGCGCAATACACTACTTTAGAATTCATTATTCAAATTTGCGCGTAACAATGCGATTAATCGCAAGAAAATCATGCGATTAATCGCGATTAAAATTTTTTATCGTGGCCCAGCACTAATGTATATATATATATATAATGACACACACACACACACAGCAGTCATTTACTCAGTCACTCAACATTTGCGTCTTGTTTAGCACTTGATGTGTGATAGTTGTGTTTAACTGAAATTGTACAGATCATACAGTGATTTACAAAAAAAAAAAAAAAAAAAAATGAGTGGGGATTGAATTGATTTCTTAAAGCTCTGTGCACAACTGTATGCCTATCCCTTTCCAGAGGGTGGAGGGCCTGTTTTCTGTACCAGTTAATTTTCCTGTAGCATTTGGCTCAGAGGCAGGTTTGAACTGGAAATGGATGGATTATGCTACATTGGAATGTGTTTCCAGTTATGTGGTGGAAAGGAAAGCAATCAAATGAAGCTACAGAAAAATGAACTGGAACAGTTAAAATGAGACAAATGTTATGAACAGTGCAGTATAAAAGCACTGTCTGCACCTCCTGAGGTCCTCTGGACGTTAATACAGGACGTTTGTTGGACGACTAAATAAAACATTGTTTGGCGTCACAGTCTGCACCTTTTAAAGTATCAAAATGTGACGTCCAAAATGACCACATTTGGAGTATAATTAGCCCTTATACAGAAATTCTACGGACGTTAATACAGGACGTTTGTTGGACGACTAAATAAGACGTCATTTGGCGTCACAGTCTGCACCTTTAAAGTATCAACATGGGACGTCCACAATGACCACATTTAGAGTACAATTAGCCCTCACACAGAGGTCGTTAATAAGGACGATCATTAGACGACAAAAAAAGACGTCGTCTGGCGTTACAGTCTGCACCCATAGGGGACCAAAATGAGACGTCCACAACGACCATATCTGGACAACATTTAGCCCTTAAACAGAAGTCCTGTGGAAGTCCATACAGGAAGTTCGATAGACGTCGAAAAATACGTTGATTGGCGTCACAGTCTGCACCCTCCTGATACCGACATAGGACGGACAAGCACACCGTTGAAACTACGTCATGTGGAGGT